CCTAACGTACGGTACGTACCGTACCAACCAACGTACGTACGTACGTCCCACCCCACCCACCACACACACACACACACACACACACACACACACACACAAACTTCAGGTGTCTGTCACAAGTCCAGGTTATCACCCGCACTTCTGACAGACTGGCTACAGATTAGAGGTTTCAACGATCCCCTCCTTGGGTTTGATTACTTTGTTAGAGTGGCTCACAGAACTTTACTAGATCTTTGGTTTATCACAAAAGGACGTAACTCAGCAATAGCCAGATGGAAGAGACGCACAGGGCAAGGGATGGGGAAAGGTCACAGAGCTTCCATGCCCTCTCCAGGCATGCCGTTCTCCCCAAATCTCCACGTGTTCACCATCCCAGAAGTTCTTCAGACCCCCGTCCTTTTGGGGTTTTTATGGAGGCTTCATCACAAAGGCAATATTGATTAAATCACCAGTCATCGCTGACTAAGCTCAACCTCCAGGCCCTCTCCTCTCCCCAGAGGTCAGGGGAACAGGGCCAAAAGTTCTAACCCTCTAATCACATGGTTCACTCTCATGGCAAACAGCCACCATCCTTAGGTGAGTCCAAAAGTCACCTCATTAACATGAGACACATTTATCGTTCTCATCACAGGCAATTCCAACAGTTTTAGGAGCTGTGTGCCAGAAATGGGACAAGACTAAACACATGTTTCTTATTATAAATTGCAGTCTCACACCTTTGTGTGACTTATCTCCAAGCACATCATATGATTTCATACAAAAACATTTCAGTATACTTTTTTAAAAGATAAAGACTTTCTTTTGAACATAGTCATTAGCGTTTTAATTTTAACTATACTACTGTGCCTGCCTGTATTCAAGTTGGCTGCTGAGGACTGTAGAATCATCAGGCTGAGACTTAATCATATCAGACCTCAGGATGCCTTGCTCATCCATTACTCATCATTAGCACGTAAATTCACATAATCTCCCTGTTATTCATTTATGCCCTTCATGATTTGGATCCTACCTATTTCACCAATCTGTTCCCCACTGCTCTTCTCCCCTGACAAATACTCACATACACCACCCACGCCTTATGCTCAAGGAATACAGGGGAGTTCTTGTTCCTTAAACATGCCGTGGTTTTGCAGTCCTCTATACCTCTGCAGGTGCTGCTCTGTCTGCCTGAAATCACCCAATCCCTCACATTTAATGGGCAAATTCCTCTTTATTGTTTAAGGTGCAGATTAAACGATTTTCCCTATTCTCCACTATCTCCTTACCAACCCCCCCAGACAATCGCTCCCATTCCTCTCTAGAGTGTGAGTTCCTTCACGGTAGGAACTGTTTCATGAATCAAAGTTGAATCTAAGCAGTTATTGAGAACTAACACAGAACTGAGTAGACTATTGTTCTCAATAAAACAATTTCAACTTAGTATGTTATCAGCCTACAATTAAAATCCTCAACCAGCAATGATGACAAAGAAACAGAATCAACATCATATATTCTAAAGCTAAGGACCCTCAAAACCATTATCTGGATCTAGCCCTGTGCCCTTCTGCATGAACAGCACTGATAAGTCCGCTTCACATATTAACTAACAGAAGTATAAGGAAGTTAAGTGCTTTACCCAAGGTCATACGGCTCTGAAGTGATGGCCAAAGAATGAAAACTTGGATCTCAAATACACAGAGACAACATAAAAGAGATGGATAAATTAAGCACAACTAAATAAGGTTAAGCACTGTTAAGAACCTAACGTGGACCCAGGAAATGTCAACGACTTCCAACAAGATTCAAACCAAAGTTCTGGGAGCTGTACAGCACAGCGGGTGATGATTCTTTCTATGGGAGACAAGCAGATAGAAACAGGCTTCACAAATGGTCAAATTCCCACCAAGCCAGGGAACTCCATATCCCACGCTCTCCGTGGCTCAGAAACCACCCGTTTGCTCTGGTCCAAGGGAATCAACCTAGTAGCCTCGCTATAAAGGCCTGGAAGAAAGCAGTCTAGCAGCAGAGAAGCAGTGCTTAATGCAATGCAAGTCCACTGAGCATGGAGAATGAGCCATTTATAAATGCAGAGGAAGCCAACAACAGACAAACAAATGACGTAAGAGGAGCTAAAATGAGACAAGCGAGATGGGCTAAGGAACTTTGTAAGAATGTACAGGAGGTGATACAAAGAACAGGCAATACTCCTGAGAATGACAGGCTCCTGCAGCCTCAAAGCTGTAAGATGAAGCCAGCCCACAGTGCCACTCTACGCACAAGACCTGAGAAGAACAGAATGGGTACTATCTTCAAGAGGATCCCAGTCTCGCTGGGATGGTCAGACAAATCATTATTGCTCACGTTTGAAAAGCCAGCGACTTGAGCCTCTTTCCAACCGCTGACACCAGCAATAGCTTCAACCGGAACGTAAGCCTCAAATAGGAAAGGAAGCGTACGCTTCCTCAGATGAAGTGAGGACTGACTGCCACGTCCCCAGGTTAACACTAGTCCCGACTTCGGACTCAGTGACACCCGCATCCTGAGTTGCACTGTGGTTCCAAAGACAGAGAAAAATTGGATGTTTGAGACAAACTGTTGGAGGACGAAGGGAATGAAAAGTGCCCACCAAATTGACAAGGCATCTTGAGACCCAAAAAACAAAGCAGACAGCTCCATATAATCAATGGATGAGTTTACAAAAGGGTAACTTACTCACAGGGTGGGATCTGGATCCAGCAGACGACAATCTGGATGCGTTCACACCTGCACTCCCCACCACCAAGGGGCCACAGAGACAACTTTATAATTAACCTAGGCTTTAGGGGTGGTTCCTTGGAAACGGGACAGGCATTCGTAAGTCAAGACTTATGAATGGGTAATTGGTCCCATGGGTACTGGAAATACGTCAGGGAAGGTTTTCATCATTGTTTGGGGACTAACAGAGCATAGAGGCCACCTGGTCCTAAAGACTATTAAAGATGTCTATTAACCGCAAAGCCCTAGATGTCAGAGAACTGATTCACTGCACAGGACAGTCCTGGGGAGGGTCAGTGGATGGACAGGAGAAACTGCAGGGGACCAACACGGCATCACTTACGCTAACAGCCATACACAAACATTACACTGAACTTCCGTGGAAAGCTGATTCTTTCTCCTCACCCTCCCTGGATTGTATAACCTTCACTTCGCCCACATGCTCAAGCCGGGGATGTGGCCTCCCCTGCTTGGCTTACACGGGTTTCACTCGCCTGCTCAGACTGCAGAGCAAACTAGCCTCAGCTTCCTTCACCACTTCCCAATCCGCACTGCAAAATGCTCTGCCTCTTTGCTCATTTCTGGTTCCCTCTTTTCTCACTGTCTCCACCAGAAGTGACTCATGATTCATACACATACAGGGGGGAAAATCTGCTGAGTAAGTTCAGTTGCTTCAAAGTAAACTGTGTACATTAGAATTTCACACAAAGAAAAATCGTTGCTGGAGAATGGACTCTGGACCCCTTACATCTGGCCCTTGTTGGGAAGGGGGACAGAATGGAGGGTTGGAAGCAATCCTGGTCTTTCCACCAGGCCTGTGCTCAGTCCCGACTGCTGGACCACTGCCTTCTGTAGCTCAGGACAGGGCTCCCACCCACCTGGCTCCCAGCGGCTCATCTTAGGGAAGCAGACGGCCAACTGGTAAAGAAGCCACAGCTGACAACCCTTCCTCACTTCCAGCTCTCAAAATACTAAAGCAAGTTTTCCTTCAGGGCCAGCCTCAGGAGGTCTGATTTTGGATAAGAGGTAAAAAACTTCCTCACCCAAACAAACTTTCTTCCAACTTCTCCATCTAAGCATCTCACAAGAGGGATCTAAGATTATCTTCTCCAACTTCCCCTTTTGCTAGGATTGACCTCTTACCTTCACCTGTGTAAGAACAAACAAGCTGGTACAGGGGTTGTGGAGTTGTAGCACGGCCGAGAGAACAAAGCTTAGGTGGGCATCACCTGGGGCAGCTTTGGTTGTAGGGGTGAGTGTTTCAGGCCCCCTAGGCACTGAAACAATGCTCAATGGAGTTTGAGAAGTTTCTGGATCAGAGGAGAGTCAAAAAGCCTTCCTGTTTCTAGGACTACGGTTCCTGGCCAATGCATTTATAATACATTTTATGATTTTTAACAAATCAGCTATTCTTTAGGGAACCTGAGATTTTATGCATACCACAAAGGTTACAGCAGGCAATTTTTTTTTATTCAGGTGAAGGGTAAACTGCTAACTGATAAACAAACTTCTAACAGTGACAACAAAAGACAAATTGGACTCACGTTTCTCCAGTGCTGGACTCCTAGGAGGTGACACTCTTCTCTTCCTGCTTCTTTCCTGAATAAAAATGCAACATATAAAGGACTGACTACACACTTCTTTGAGAGATCTTGTGAGTTCTGCAAAAGTAAGAGCCTAGAAAGAGAGAACGGGGAAATGAACATCAAGGCCCAGACACAGGAGAAGAAAAGAGGGAGACCGTGCAGCTTCTCTCCCTCCTAGTAGGACCAATCCAAAGAAAGGCTGGGTGCAAAGTCTCCTAAGACCGCGTCCCCCGGGAAACACTTGGCTTCTGCTGCCTCAAGCACTTCAGAGGAGGAAACTCACTCCTTTCTGTGGCTTCAATTCTGCAAAAGCTTCAGGTCTGATAGGAAACACACCTGATTAGCAGGTGAGAGAAAGGGAAAGAGGAGCTGTTGGGAGAACAAAATGTAAATACAGAGAAGCCAACACAGGTACATTACAGGCTCTGCAAAGCCCCCACTGTCTTCAAAATGAGGAGAGAAAGCCCACAACATTCCAAGAGCAGTCAGAGAGGAGTCCTGCTGCCAGAAACCAGGGCATAAAGCCAACAACTTCGAATTATAATCCTCATCATTAAGACTGTAAGTAGAAGTGGATAAAAGGGCTAAATCTCAGAAGAAAAAAAGAGCTAAAAAGAAATAGGTAAGAATATGGGGCAAGAAAAAGCAAAGTAGAGACTGACAAAGGAAGGAAGCCAGAGTGGAAATACATCATTCAGGAGGTTCAAACACAGCCCTGACTGAACTCAGGGTACTGCGTACCCCTTCCCTCCCTGGAGTCATACAGGGTATTGCTCCTGTGAAGGATGAGTACAAGGTGTGCTCAAAACCTCGTACCTGAGGATGTAAGTCTAGCATTTCTTCCCCACTCTGCTGAGCATGACCAGCTTCTGCAGGTGTTCCGAATCCCACTCCCCTGCAGGCCGGCTGCTAAGCTGCAGCCCTCACCGGAAGCTACTGCTCCTAAGAGACGACCCACTGCCCAGAATGGCAGGACAAGAAAAGGAGTATTTCCAATTTGCTGCTTTAATATAGTTTACTCTTTCTCTTTCGGTCCATTTACATCTAAAAGAGAATTGTTTTAATTACAAAGGTCTGCTCTATTTCTCTTCTAATTTGGGATGCATACATTGCCACTTGACCCTTTTTTAAACTGGGCATGTATTAAATTATGTGAAAAACTCCTTTCTATTTTGTTTCACCAACATGAAAATGACAAGACTCTGATTGTTATTATGCTGAAATCCTACCCGGTAGTTGTAATAAAATACAGAAATCTTGGAA